TTATGACCCGTGTATATAGCAAATCCCAAATACACCGTTTGGTGGTGCACCTGACAGATGCGGAACGTACAGATAAGGTAATAGGTAACATGTGACATATAATGACATGACTTAAAGGAAATCGCATCGGATAGTTCCAGAACTTTTTAATTTGTCTAATTGTTTATTGTTTGAAACAGTAATCGATGTAAAAGGGTAAAATTTTCAGTATACCCTATCAAGTATATATACCCTTATATGAAGTTTGACTTGTTCTTATATAAATTTTCATAAAAAGATTTCACTTCTTTCAAAATATCTTTTTGTTTTGAAATTACATCTCCATTTTCTTTTTCTACTTTTGGTATTATCTTATTTGTAAAACTTTTTTATTCTAGCCCACAAAAATAGCTAGTAGGTTTTTCACCCTCTTCTACCCATTGTATTCTTGATCGAATTATTTTACCTTTAATTTTTTCTTTTCTTATATTTTCCAATTCATATTTTCTATTTTTTTAAATCTTTATTGAACCTTCGTCTACCTTATCTTCCAAAATTAGGATTTCATTTCTAAGATCTTTCTCTTGTTTTTCTTTTACTTTTTTCTTATAACTTGAATAAGATATAGTTTTGCCTTTAATTTCCATCAACATTGTCTCAAGAAATAAGTGACTGTTAATATTAAAATGGAGATCTTCATTATTTATGTCTTCAATTATTGGTAATATTAATTATTTAGAAAACAAAAGGGCCTGGAATGGAGTAATTTTTAATCAACAGCATTGTACTATATAAGTTATAAATAAAGTTGAATTCTTTGATTTGCCGTTTTTACGTCATGTCGGCTAACAAATTGGAAACAGTACCTACGCCTTATTCTAAGTCTAGATTTTTAGTATTCGTATTGTCATTTTAAAAAGTCATGCTGATTAAAATACTTCAATAGGAAACAATGTGACAATGATTGAATTTAGTAGTGTCAACCCTGTGATTATGACCCGTGTATATAGCAAATCCCAAATACACCGTTTGGTGGTGCACCTGACAGATGCGGAACGTACAGATAAGGTAATAGGTAACATGTGACATATAATGACATGACTTAAAGGAAATCGCATCGGATAGTTCCAGAACTTTTTAATTTGTCTAATTGTTTATTGTTTGAAACAGTAATCGATGTAAAAGGGTAAAATTTTCAGTATACCCTATCAAGTATATATACCCTTATATGAAGTTTGACTTGTAGCTTTCTTCAGTTATACGTTTATTAGGTGAACAAAAACGCTCTTTAGATTTAGTAGTATAGATACTTATAAAAATAGAACTTATTTAGGTGTGCGCAGCTTAACAATTAACATGAACATATAAATTTATACGGGTTCTAATTCTCTCCATTTAACGCCGACTTAAAATTATTCAAAGTCTTTGCCGTCACTGTTAAACTGTGTGTGAACTGGCCAATTGTTTTAGGCATCAACATTATTTTCAAAAACGCTCAAACTTTTGTCTTTTGACATCATGTTTACGGAAATAGAGCAAAATATAAAATAATTTCTTTTACAAAACAAGTTTTCATCAAATTATATAACCGGCTCTGCTGGGCTATCTGCTTTTACGAGATCGGCGCCCATTAAAATTTATTCATCAATGTTGTATCAAAATTTGAATTTGCTCTCTCCCGAGGTCTGCTTTGACACCCATTTTGACAAAAAGCATGTTTTTTTATCAACCTGCTGGGCGATCTGCTTTTACGAGATCAAATACTCCCATAACATTTTAATCAATTGAATCCGGCTGCTAAAATTGTTAACCACATGTTGACATAATTAAACCGTTGTTAATAAAATACGATCGTAGTCAGCATTCTTATCCAAATTTTAAAACATTTTGACGATGGGTACACAACAACTCGTACCTTCGGCAACTCGTACTCAACCAAATCGTACCCTATTTTTACCAACTCGTACCCAATATTTTTTAGCATGATTGTTTTTCATTTATTAGGTTATATTGAAAATCTAATTGTTATTTTTATTTTGTAATTTGATCCACTGATAAGTTTTTCTTAATGTTTTTTAAACATGTTTCTTAAATGCAGCATAAGTCTTTAATTGTGAAGTAATGAATTCCTTAGTTTTAAACATTGTTGGTAAATAAGAATATATAGAACATCATCCTGATCATCTCAACCAGAGACATATATAGACGTATATATGTCTCTGTTTCAAACTTGAACGATCCATAAAATATTGGAAAAGGATATTTTTTTACTGATTTTTGCGTTGGTCAAGTGAGTTTTTTCTTGTTTGTGTATATATAATGAATACCTTTCTAAACCTTTTGAAACCATAAAGCCACTGGCAGCACACGAATTAAACAAAGTCCAAATGTTTTACATATATATTTATTAGGAACTATTTATTTTTTTCTGTGAATAGAAATTAAAAAAAAAGATCGACGAAGTCAAATGTAATATTTACCTGCAATCCAAGAAACTGGACATGTCTAAACACAGACTGTTTGAAGTGAAAAAGACAACCATGCCTGGAATCACCTCCTTTAGGGCCTGCCACAAACCACCCTCAAAGTCGGCTACGAACCCACAGACTTTTCGGTGAGGATTGTACAAGTATAACTGAACTAACTTTGATGTTCAAAACGCCGAATTTATATGGATTTTTTTGTTTTTATATACTTCTCTATGTTTATTTATTGTATGATTATAATTATTTAATATGCATATCAAATAAATTGCCGCATGATATATGAGAGAAAATAACAACTATAATTTATATAAATGATAAGAACATATTGGGTAAGAGTTGGTAAAAGTACGAGTTGGTTGAGTACGAGTTGCCGAAGGTACGAGTTGACATGTATCCTTGACGACAAACTATGAAAAATTATAGTTGCCAAAATTGGTGACGGAAACTTTTCTGGAAATATCGATTTTTAGTTTATTTTCCTGAATGGGGAATTTATATTCACAAACATTTTTTTGGGTCCGCTGGCCGATTTTAGGGCCACTTAGCGGCCCTAAACTATATAGTGGAATCATCCCTGAATGGTGACCATACTTCTATTCCCCAGTCACCCTGGGGGGGGGGGGGTTAATTCTATTTTTTTTTTCTATATGCATGTACTCAAGAGTAAAGATAATTAATCACCTAATTCATTTATATGATTTCTAGTTTAAAGCAACTATATGCACAGGATTTATTTGTTTTTACATAGTTTGATTTAGAAAAAATAACCGACATGGTTAGAAAATACAATTAATTACACCATTACTAACACAATTCTATATTGATATTCTTGTAATTGTTAGAAAATACATCAAATAACACCTTTTTTACAAACTTAATCCTGAATTTATATTCAATTTCTAGAAATTTACCAGTGACATCACTTTTTGTGGCATTGATACATTGGTGTGACGCACAGTTCATAATTCTATTTGTGTACTGTCGTAAATTCATTTTTGGTATTTGTTATTATTCTGTGGTTTACATGTTGAAATGTACTATTATAATATTTATAATAATCTGACTAGCGGTTTTGGAGAACCGCTGCGGACAAGTTCATCTTTAAAGCGGCGGAAAAAGAAAAAGAAGAAGAATAATAAAAATAATAAGAACTGAACAAAAACAATTAATAATATATGAACCACAGGACCAATCATAAATGCTGTTCATTCATGCCAAAAGATGGCCTTCATTTCTGCAATTCTATGCAAATAAAACGCTTCGCTGAGCGCAGCCTGATACGACCGCAGAGGTCGAACCCTGAACAATTGGGGCAAATTTGGACACAATATTCAAGCTTGATACTGTCTGAATTTTGGTTGTGATCAAATTTTGACAATAGGGTTCTGACACAAATCAAATGTGGTCAAAGATCTTAAAAATCTATTGCGCAATACTGTGCAATTGAAGATTTCTTCTTGAAACTTTTCAAAAAATTTGAAATTTGAAAAATTTTGAAAAAAAAAATTATGAACACCTTAAAAAAAATTGGAAAAAAAATCCCCCCAAACTTTTTGAACCCCCTTGTAATTACCCACAAACTCAATTCCAGCCTTCCCTTTGTAGTATGGAAACTTGTAATACAATTTTAGAGAGATCCATACATTAAACAAGTTATTGTCTGGAAAGTAGCAAAAATGCTCGTTTTTGGCCCCTTTTTTGCCCTAATTCTTGCATGTTGAGGGCAATCCAGGCCTTCCCTTTGTGATATGGAACCTTGTGGTACAATGTCAGAGTGATCAATACACTTACACACAAGTTATTGTCCGGAAACTACAAAAATGCTTGTTTTTGGCCCCTGTATGGCCCCTAATTCCTAACCTGTTAGTACCATAACCCCTAAAATCAATCCCAACCTTCCTTTTGTGGTATTGAACCTTCTTGTAATATTTCAACGAGATCCATTCACTAAAACTCAAGTTATTGTCCGGAAACCAAATGTGTCTTCAGACGAGGACGACGACGACACAGACAACGATGCAGACGACAACGACGACGATGCAGACGATGACGACATTATACCAGACATCATACCATTAAACGTACCCCAAAATTTTTTTGTGGTCGTATAAAAATGACAACAAAACTCAAACATTGTGACATATTTCACAGATTTTTAACATGTCATGAAAGATGAATAAACTGTCAAGTTAAAAAAATGGGCAGAATACTGCAACCTTTAATGTCAGTTAGTTTTTGTACTTCTACGTTGTCACAATAACCATTATGTGTTTTATATTTTGACAAGGAAAATGACATGAATCAAATAGATGACCAATAATTGAATGCATGGGATGAACTGACTTCTTAATTCTCAAGATTAAATACCGTAGGTATTTCCTATACCGTGTATACCTCCCCAGATGGCAACATAGAATTGTAATCTGGGTTGTTCAGGACAATTTTTGATGGCTTTAAACATATCAACTAAAACAATATGACATTTTAGCTACAGTTTATATAAAACATTCTATTTTAACTCATTTGATAAACAAGTTAAAGATACTTACTAACACAGTTGGTACCATCATGGAAATGTGTGACTGGACATTTACATGACTTTGTGCCATCACCAGTACATTCAGCATTGTTAGCAATACATTGTGCAACATTTGTACAACTTTCTCCTATGGCTCTTCCTGACAAAAATGAAAAGAGAAAAATTAAATGACGACTACAAAACAGTGCAGATGATTAAAAATATAGATAAAAAATTCTTCAGCTGAAAAAATAATTAAAAACAACATTTGAGTAACAGACAAATATTTCGAATCTATATAAAGTATTTCTCCTATTGGTTCTGAACATCTTTATTATGTTTACTGCACAAAACTGAGTCTTCCTGTGCTATTTAATTGTTGATTGTTGAGTTCCAATGTACCGTTGTTGCACATTTTTTATCTATCCAAAGGCAATAACTTAAAAAACCTTTTTTTTTCGTTCTTTAAAACTATTAACAAATATCTTGGCTTGAGAAAAAATACAATGCAATTTTCAATATAATTAATATTTCCAAGGGATAAAACCCTTTTAAAAAAAATATTTGAACATCACTCAAAAATTGTACACATGAGAGTGCTTACAATGCAATTTTCAATATAATTAATATTTCCAAGGGGCGTAACTCTTTTTATAAACTACTTCGCTGAGTGCAGCTGGATACGCCCACAGAGGTCCAACCCTGAACAGTTGGGGCAAAAATGGACACAATATTCAAGCTTGATACAGGTCTGAATTTGGATTGTAATTGAATATTTGACATACTATAGGTTTCTGAATAAATGTAGTCAAAGAACTTGAAATTGGTTATATGAATTGAATTTATATTCAATTAAAGATTTCTTGCTGTTGTGCAATGCACTGTGCTGTTGCGCAATGCTTAGTAAATCTGTTGTCAGACTATAAACAAACTTGGAAACCTAAATTCAAAAATTTATAAAAATCAAAAGGGACCTTACAAAAATAGATATAAACAATTTACCAAAGTTTTCGTAAAAAATGGTGAAAGCATTTTTGAGTTATTGTCCGAAAACTGGAAAATCCCCCTTTTTATAATGAATAAAACCCCATAAATCGGAAATGTATAGTCTAAAATTTATAAAAATCAAAAGGGAGCTCATGTCGATAGAAATAAACAATTCATCAAAGTTTCTTGCAATTTGGTGAAATTGTTAATAAGTTATTGTCCGAAAACTGGAAAATGCCCCCTTTTTTAATGAATAAAACCCCAAAACTTGGAAACAGTAAAACCGAAATTTATAAAAAAACGAAAAGGAGCTCACGACAATAGATATAAACAATTCATAAAAGTTTCAAGCAAATTGATGAAATTTTTTTTGAATTATTGTCCGAAAACTGGAAAATCCCCCCTTTTTTAATGAATAAAACACAAAAACTCGGAAACGGTAAATCAGAAATTTATAAAAAACGAATGGGAGCTCACGTCAATAGATATAAACAATTCACAAAAGTTTCATGCAAATTATTGAAATTCTTTTTGAGTTATAGTCTGAAAACTGGAAAATCCCCCCTTTTTTAATGAATAAAACCCCAAAACTCGGAAACGGTATATCCGAAATTTATAAAAAACGAAAGGGAGCTCACGTCAATATATATAAACAATTCACTAAAGTTTCATGCATATTGGTTAAAGCCTAACCATAATACGTCCTGTAAACAGGTGTGTAAAAATGATTGATTGACACTGATTTTCTAACTTGTCAGAGACATTGCTAATATAAGATATGATATAATTTTCATAAAAATCTGGCAAGAATTGTACACATAAGAGCGCTAACAATGAAATTTCCAATATAATTGATATTTCCAAGAAGCATTACTCTTTTAATCAAAGCTTTGTTGGTGCTGTGTCCCAACCATCTTTTCATAGCTATAGGTAGTCTGTTATTTTTCTAATCTCATTTTTAAAATATTTTTCTTCATAAAAGATCCTGTAAGACCTTAAGACATAACCATCACAACTTTGGATAAGTGATCTTGGTCCATAATGTTAATAAGCTTGTCTCCCTAAATTTATTTGTATATGTTTGCCTTCTGGAGTAACACAGAACCTTGTGTCTCACCTGCCATTGCTGCTGTCAGTATAAAAGTGTAATATGACTTAACTAGAGGCTCTCAAGAGCCTGTGTTGCTCACCTAGGACTGTATCTACTGTGGTTTTGGAAATCATGTAAAATAAGATTAAAATCAACAAATAGTATTAGAAACCCTAATAATGATTGAGGCCAAGTTTGGTTTAATTTGGCACAGTAGTTAAATTAAAAGCCAGTCATCCCACTAGTAACTAGACTTACAATAGTTACTGAAGACCCCTTATCATTATTTAAATTAGTTTTCAAGTTGTGATCATTTGAAATTGTTTTTTGGCAATTTTCCAATAGACATCTATAGTAAACCCCTATGTTCTATTTTTGGCCATGGTGGCCATGTTTGTTGATTGGCAGAGTCATCGGATACATTATTCAATCAAGATACCCTATTGAAAATTGTGGCTAAGTTAAATTCTATTTGGCCCAGTAGATTAAGTGGAGAAGATTTTTGTAAAAGATTAATTACAAAAACTTAGGAAAAATTGTTAGAAATTGACTATAAAGGGCAATAACTCATTAAGGGGTCAATTGACAATTATGGTCATATTGTCTTATTTGAAAATCGTAATTTGCTGAACATAATTGCTGTTTACAGTTTATCTCTATCTATAATAATATTTAAGGTAATAAACACTAAACAGCTGCGCCATGAGTCGCTTTTTCAAAGAATAACATTCCATAACTCCTAAATGTCATATCAGAAAATCGAAATTTATAAAAGAACTAAAGGGAGCTCACGCTAATAGAAATATAGCAGTCACCAAAGTTTCATGAGAACTGCTCAAAGCACTTTCGAGTTATTGTCCGAAAACAGGAAATTCCCCATTTTTTAAAGAATAAAACCCCACAACACGGAAATGTCAAATGTAAAATTTATATAAATTGAAAGGTAGCTCATTTCAATAGATATAAATAATTCATCAAAGTTTCATGAAAACAGCATAAAGCATTTTTGAGTTAATGTCTGAAAACTGGAAAATCCCCCCTTTTTTAATGAATAAAACCCCATAACTCGGAAACGTTAAATCTAAAATTTATAAAAAAATTAAAGGGAGCTCAAGTCAATAGATATTAACAATCCACCAAAGTTTCTTGCAAATTGGTTAAAGCGTTTTTGATTTTTTGTACGACATGTGGACTGATGGACGGACAGACAGTACGACGAACGAATATGTCCCGTAAACTGCAAAATTTTCTTAAAAGAAGTTGCAGGCTCAACAAAAATGGTAAAAAAATTATTAAAAAATTTCCTCTTAGCCTAGATAACTATCTTTTGATTGTAAGAAGCTTCAGTCTAAGTTTGGTAAAAATCCAGGATGGTTTATGAATCTAATAAATGTTTTAAAAACTTTAACTGCAGACTGTATGTAATGTTAACTGGAAGAAAAACTAAGTCCATTTATAAGTAATATACAGAAAAACAGGAATTAAATTTTTACAAAATTTCCTTCTAGATACTAGCTTTTGATCATAAACAAGCATCTGTCCAAGTTTGGTACAAATCCAGGATATTTTAAGAAGGTTATTAAAATTTTTAAAACTTTAACCACAGAGTGAATGTAATGTTAACTGGCAGAAAAACTAAGTCCATTTATAAGTAAAATACGGTCCAACAGGATTTTTTTTTTACAAAATTTACTTCTGGATACTATCTTATGATCATAAAACAAGCTTCTGTCCAAGTTTGGTAGAAATCAAGGATAGTTTAAGAAAGTTATTAAAATTTCAAAAACTTTAACCACAGAGTGAATATTTGTGGACGCCGCAGACGAAGTCGGAATGTAGGATCGCTATGTCTCGCTTTTGCAACAAAAGTCGCAGGCTCGACAAAAATGATGCAGAGGAAGCCGTGTCTGTTGCTTCTTTAATTTTTAGTACTGGAGGATATATCAATGGAACCCAATCAGAAAAGTTTGGAGAACATCATCAATATATCTGAATGTGAAATTAAATGTTCTGACTTCTTTGATTTTCTTGCTTTTGATAAGTGTCTGAAGGAACTCTGACTCATATGAAAATAAGAAGAGGTCGGCAAAGAGAGGCGCACAGAGTGAGTTCATTCCCATATATAAAAATGCCGTCATTTGGTTGAAAATGTCTACCTCCAAATTCAACAAATATGTTGTCAATAAGAAACTCCAGCACACTGATCATTTGTTCCTCAGTGTAGCATGTTTTACTTTTTGTTCACTATTAACAAAATATGCCGTATGGTATCCCAAAGCAATAAATTTATAGCATATGCTACAATTTTTATATTGAAAAGCATTGTGGATTATTTTTTTTAAATGATTTTTCAATTTCACAATACAGTTTTTAAAAAGAATTTAAACTTTTTCATCAGATTCTATTTCTTCGTCTTGAAGTTAAGCTTCTATCCAAGTTTAATAACAGTCCATGAAGGTTTACAAATTTATCATTGTCAAAATGAATGAAGAATGTTTTCTTGGGAAACAGATTATGTCCCCACTTGCAAGTTACGCTATAACAGGACGATCTGATTCACAGATAGATCTTAACCTGATGAACATTTTTACCCCATATCAGATTTGCTCTAAATGCTTTAGTTTCAGAGCTATCGGACACATTTTTTTAAAGTAGATACACTCACAATGACTGTGGCGAAGTTTGGTTAAATTTGGCCTTGTAGTTTCAGAGAAGATTTTTTAAAAAGTTAACGCACGACCGACAACAGATGCCAAGTGATAAGAAAAGCTAGGTGAGCTAAAATTGAAAGGGAGCTCATGTCAATAGATATAAACAATTCACCAGAGTTTCATGAAAATTGGGTAAATTGTTTTGAGTTATTGTTGACGACAGACGGATGGCCAATGGACAGACAGACAGACGGACAGGCAGAGGGACCGACAGATGGAAAGGCGAAGGGACAGAAGAACAACAGTATACCATTATACGTCCCATTAACGAGCGTATAAAAATAAAAGAAGAATGTGTCTCCGCTCAAGCTTTGCAATTTTCAAAAGTTAAAAAGAGGTGTCAGTCTAGAACGGTAAATGTCTCACAACACAAATTTGAATTCTGTCTGTGTGTTGTAGTTTCTCAGCATTGTGTGAGTTTCATCAAATTTGCATGAGGTAAACTAAAGTTAAAAGAGTGCAGAAACAAAAATTGGACAGACAGAACAAATAAGTCCTTTCATCAATAAAATACAGAAAAATGAAAATAACATTTTTATTCATGAAGTATTTGATTCACAGGACTTTTATCTCTTCAAAGGGAAGACCGGAGGAAACAACTGAAAACAGGGTTATCTTACTCCTGACAGGATGTTCACATGTATAAATATAAGAGTTTATGTAATTGATTTCATATTAGAAATTAATGTTCTTTGAGCTTGCTTTCTGTACTGGCAAGTATTTTTTTTTATTTTTTCTTGTACTTCTGCATATTTGACATCAATTACCTTTAAACCAACATATTTTCCTGGAAACTTTATTTCACTTTTAGCTATTCTTGCAGCACTATTTCATAAGTGACACATGCAACATTCAAAATTTCATTTATCTAAGATACTTACTAACACAGTTGTTACCATCATAAAAATGTGTGGTTGGACACTGACATGTCTGTGTTTCAGTAAGAGCACATATAGAATCTGTAGTGATACACTGTGCAGTATTTGAACAAGTTTCTCCAAAAGCCCCAGAGGGCAACATAGAATTTTAATCTTGGTGGTACAGTACTATTTTCGATGGCTTTAAACATATCAAATAGTGAAAAATGAAAACAATAAATATGACATTTGATCTACAGTTTATATAAAACATTCTATTTTAACTCATTTGATAAACAAGTTAAAGATACTTACTAACACAGTTGGTACCATCATGGAAATGTGTGACTGGACATTTACATGACTTTGTACCATCACCAGTACATTCAGCATTGGTTGCAATACATTGTGAAACATTGGTACAACTTTCTCCTATGGCTCTTCCTGACAATAATGAAAAAAAGAAAAATTTAGTGAGAAGTACAAAACAGTGCAGATTATTAAAGATAAAGATAAACAATTCTTCAGCTGACAAAATAATAAAAAACAAAATTTGAGTAACAGTTTAATACTTTGAATCTATAAAAATTATTTCTCCCATTTTTTCTGAACATCTTTATTATTGTTACTGTACAAAACTGAGTCTTCCTGTGCTGTTTCATTGTTGATTGTTGGTAAATAAAGTACTAGTATGATTAAACCTTTCCTTTGAGTACAAAGAGAAAATAAAGAAAGGTTTTTTATTCATGCCTCCATCTTTTTTATTTGTATTCATTGTAATTGACGTAGATCATGGCATCAAAAACGGTCATATATTCCGGACATTTATACATTTACCAGACATTATCCGTCTGGGAAAAGCATGAAAAGGACATCTACTTTTAGTTCTCAAGACTTTCTTAAGAGATGGTCATTTTAATATAAATTAAAGTTTATGCGATCTTTTTGACCCGACCTTTTGCCTTAAACAGCCACACATTTCTGGTCATAAAAGTGACATGATGATTAATTACTATCAAAACAAACCCTACTTTAATACCTTCTCATTTTAATAAAGGTTAATTAGTTGTGGGACAGCTGAAATTTACCTGTTCATGTGACAAGTAAACTGTTTTGTACCGGACATTAATCAGTCTATTCCAAAGTTATTTTCTTACATTACAGCCGTTTGCATCTTATTAATTTAGTCAAAAAGATTGAAATTATCAGAAATACGTTTATAAATATGATTTGATGAAAAATTTAAAAGGTTTTTAAACGCAAAATCGTCAGAACCATTTTCTTTGAACTAGGTGGGAAATTTAATTATACATCCTAATTCTTCAAAAATGCTAAAATTATCATTGATACCTTTATCTTACTTCATTTCGAGTATTTTCTTGAAGAAATCATGTGGAAAGAGCTACTTAAACTCAATCATGCTTTGTAAACGTACACGGGTTTTACGTATCCGTCTCTGGTCCACGTTTTGTCAAGTCAACATCCGGTATTAGGAAAATGTGCTTTTTAAAAACAAAAGTAAAGTTTTTGACAAAGTTATTTTGCACAAATAAAGAGTCAAAGGCAGATATTAGTATGCTGATGTTGCACACTTCCAATGATGGACTGTAAATTTAACAGTTCACGTCAGAACATCGAATTTATATCAAAGTAAAGTTTAAAGTAAATCGAATTTATATCCAAGTAAAGTTTAAAGTAAATCGAATTTATATCCAAGTAAAGTTTGTTGTGTTTTTGTTGTGTCGTTGTTCTCCTCTTATATTTGATGCGTTTCCCTCAGTTTTAGTTTGTAACTCGGATTTGTTTTTATCTCTATCAATTTATGAGTTTCAAACAGCGGTATACTACTGTTGCCTTTATTTAATATCGCTTTTTTAATGTCAATTATTGGTTATAAGATGGCCGACCGATACCCATAATTGCCTTTTGTTACTAAGTCTTAAGGGATTAAAATCATGGTAAGACATAAAATGTGCGGCTGGCTCAAATATTTGTTTGAAGCCCTGACCTAGATATATAAGAAAATAAAAGAAAAATGATTCTGAGGACAAGAACACCCCCACTCAGGCTTTTAAACCTTGCTTGTAATATGTGAAAATACTTTTGGGACGGACGAAAAAATGAACGGATAGACAGACAGATGGATGGACAGAAGGATGGACACTTAATGCCCCCTTAGCCTAGCTGTGGGGGTATAAAGATATTCTAAAAATTTGTAAAATGATAAGTAGATGAAAATTTAACAAACAATAACAGTAGTGATGTATGGTTTTTTAAGCATTAATAAAGTCATTTTGCTAGAAAACTTAAGAGTGTCATTGTTTCGAACAATGTCAAAAATATATCAGCTATAGCCCTGTCTATATTACATGGACATTGTTATTTATTAACTAGGGTACTGGTCTTCTTACAAGAGGCCATGAAAGATGTACAAGCCAACATTGCTGCCCTGACTACACTTGGCTCTGCAAGTCAGTATAGACCTTCTTAAGCATGCTGAAGATCCTCTTAAAGGTAATATTGCAGTGTGAAGTAGTGAGCATAACTTTGCTGAGTTGAATGGCTATCAAATGTTTTTCAACATAAAAACTTTTTGATTGATGTTTTGACAACAGTTTACTTTTCTATAAATAAACAGTATTTACCTATAATCAATCTTGGCATATGCCATAAACAGGAGCCATATCCAGTTATTAATATCATATCACCTGTTGATTATTCTATCAAACTACATACTTGTTAATTAGTCTTGGGCCAGGGTCAAAATCTACTCAAGTTGTGTAATGTTACACTGGATTCATAAGATACATTCTGATTTTTATGTTTTCAATAACAAATATTTTGAAAAAAGTGTAGTAAAAATTGGTGTCTGAACATTTTCATTCATGAAGTATTTGATTCACAGGACTTTCCTCTTTTCAAAGGGAAGACGGGAGGAAACAACCGAAAACAGGATTATCTTACTCCTGACGGGATGTTCACATGTATAAATATAAGAGTTTATGTAATTGATTTCATATAAGAAATTAATGTTCTTTGAGCATGCTTTCTGACCTGGCAAGTAATTTCTTTTATTTTTGCTTATACTTCTGTATATTTGATATTAATTACCTTTCAACAACCATATTTTCCTGGAAACTTTATTTCACTTTTAGCTATTCTTGCAGAATTTGCAGAAACTATTTCATAGGTGACAAATGAAACATTCATAATTTCATTTAACAAAGATACTTACAAACACAGTTGTAACCATCATAAAAATGTGTGGTTGGACACTGACATGTCTGTGTATCAGTACGAGCATATATAGAATCTGTAGTGATACACTGTGCAGTATTTGTACAAGTTTCTCCAAAAGCCCCACAGGGCAACATAGAATTGTAATCTGGGTGGTACAGTACTTTTTTTGGATGGATTTAAACATATCAAATAGCGAAAAATGAAAACAATAAAATATGACATTTGATCTACAGTTTATATAAAACATTCTATTTTAACTCATTTGATAAACAAGTTAAAGATACTTACTAACACAGTTGGTACCATCATGGAAATGTGTGACTGGACATTTACATGACTTTGTGCCATCACCAGTACATTCAGCATTGGTTGCAATACATTGTGAAACATTGGTACAACTTTCTCCTATGGCTCTTCCTGACAATAATGAAAAAAAGAAAAATTTAGTGAGAAGTACAAAACAGTGCAGATTATTAAAGATAAAGATAAACAATTCTTCAGCTGACAAAATAATAAAAAACAAAATTTGAGTAACAGTTTAATACTTTGAATCTATAAAAATTATTTCTCCCATTTTTTCTGAACATCTTTATTATTGTTACTGTACAAAACTGAGTCTTCCTGTGCTGTTTCATTGTTGATTGTTGGTAAATAAAGTACTAGTATGATTAAACCTTTCCTTTGAGTACAAAGAGAAAATAAAGAAAGGTTTTTTATTCATGCCTCCATCTTTTTTATTTGTATTCATTGTAATTGACGTAGATCATGGCATCAAAAACGGTCATATATTCCGGACATTTATACATTTACCAGACATTATCCGTCTGGGAAAAGCATGAAAAGGACATCTACTTTTAGTTCTCAAGACTTTCTTAAGAGATGGTCATTTTAATATAAATTAAAGTTTATGCGATCTTTTTGACCCGACCTTTTGCCTTAAACAGCCACACATTTCTGGTCATAAAAGTGACATGATGATTAATTACTATCAAAACAAACCCTACTTTAATACCTTCTCATTTTAATAAAGGTTAATTAGTTGTGGGACAGCTGAAATTTACCTGTTCATGTGACAAGTAAACTGTTTTGTACCGGACATTAATCAGTCTATTCCAAAGTTATTTTCTTACATTACAGCCGTTTGCATCTAATTAATTTAGTCAAAAAGATTGAAATTATCAGAAATACGTTTATAAATATGATTTGATGAAAAATTTAAAAGGTTTTTAAACGCAAAATCGTCAGAACCATTTTCTTTGAACTAGGTGGGAAATTTAATTATACATCCTAATTCTTCAAAAATGCTAAAATTATCATTGATACCTTTATCTTACTTCATTTCGAGTATTTTCTTGAAGAAATCATGTGGAAAGAGCTACTTAAACTCAATCATGCTTTGTAAACGTACACGGGTTTTACGTATCCGTCTCTGGTCCACGTTTTGTCAAGTCAACATCCGGTATTAGGAAAATGTGCTTTTTAAAAACAAAAGTAAAGTTTTTGACAAAGTTATTTTGCACAAATAAAGAGTCAAAGGCAGATATTAGTATGCTGATGTTGCACACTTCCAATGATGGACTGTAAATTTAACAGTTCACGTCAGAACATCGAATTTATATCAAAGTAAAGTTTAAAGTAAATCGAATTTATATCCAAGTAAAGTTTAAAGTAAATCGAATTTATATCCAAGTAAAGTTTGTTGTGTTTTTGTTGTGTCGTTGTTCTCCTCTTATATTTGATGCGTTTCCCTCAGTTTTAGTTTGTAACTCGGATTTGTTTTTATCTCTATCAATTTATGAGTTTCAAACAGCGGTATACTACTGTTGCCTTTATTTAATATCGCTTTTTTAATGTCAATTATTGGTTATAAGATGGCCGACCGATACCCATAATTGCCTTTTGTTACTAAGTCTTAAGGGATTAAAATCATGGTAAGACATAAAATGTGCGGCTGGCTCAAATATTTGTTTGAAGCCCTGACCTAGATATATAAGAAAATAAAAGAAAAATGATTCTGAGGACAAGAACACCCCCACTCAGGCTTTTAAACCTTGCTTGTAATATGTGAAAATACTTTTGGGACGGACGAAAAAATGAACGGATAGACAGACAGATGGATGGACAGAAGGATGGACACTTAATGCCCCCTTAGCCTAGCTGTGGGGGTATAAAGATATTCTAAAAATTTGTAAAATGATAAGTAGATGAAAATTTAACAAACAATAACAGTAGTGATGTATGGTTTTTTAAGCATTAATAAAGTCATTTTGCTAGAAAACTTAAGAGTGTCATTGTTTCGAACAATGTCAAAAATATATCAGCTATAGCCCTGTCTATATTACATGGACATTGTTATTTATTAACTAGGGTACTGGTCTTCTTACAAGAGGCCATGAAAGATGTACAAGCCAACATTGCTGCCCTGACTACACTTGGCTCTGCAAGTCAGTATAGACCTTCTTAAGCATGCTGAAGATCCTCTTAAAGGTAATATTGCAGTGTGAAGTAGTGAGCATAACTTTGCTGAGTTGAATGGCTATCAAATGTTTTTCAACATAAAAACTTTTTGATTGATGTTTTGACAACAGTTTACTTTTCTATAAATAAACAGTATTTACCTATAATCAATCTTGGCATATGCCATAAACAGGAGCCATATCCAGTTATTAATATCATATCACCTGTTGATTATTCTATCAAACTACATACTTGTTAATTAGTCTTGGGCCAGGGTCAAAATCTACTCAAGTTGTGTAATGTTACACTGGATTCATAAGATACATTCTGATTTTTATGTTTTCAATAACAAATATTTTGAAAAAAGTGTAGTAAAAATTGGTGTCTGAACATTTTCATTCATGAAGTATTTGATTCACAGGACTTTCCTCTTTTCAAAGGGAAGACGGGAGGAAACAACCGAAAACAGGATTATCTTACTCCTGACGGGATGTTCACATGTATAAATATAAGAGTTTATGTAATTGATTTCATATAAGAAATTAATGTTCTTTGAGCATGCTTTCTGACCTGGCAAGTAATTTCTTTTATTTTTGCTTATACTTCTGTATATTTGATATTAATTACCTTTCAACAACCATATTTTCCTGGAAACTTTATTTCACTTTTAGCTATTCTTGCAGAATTTGCAGAAACTATTTCATAGGTGACAAATGAAACATTCATAATTTCATTTAACAAAGATACTTACAAACACAGTTGTAACCATCATAAAAATGTGTGGTTGGACACTGACATGTCTGTGTATCAGTACGAGCATATATAGAATCTGTAGTGATACACTGTGCAGTATTTGTACAAGTTTCTCCAAAAGCCCCACAGGGCAACATAGAATTGTAATCTGGGTGGTACAGTACTTTTTTTGGATGGATTTAAACATATCAAATAGCGAAAAATGAAAACAATAAAATATGACATTTGATCTACAGTTTATATAAAACATTCTATTTTAACTCATTTGATAAACAAGTTAAAGATACTTACTAACACAGTTGGTACCATCATGGAAATGTGTGACTGGACATTTACATGACTTTGTGCCATCACCAGTACATTCAGCATTGGTTGCAATACATTGTGAAACATTGGTACAACTTTCTCCTATGGCTCTTCCTGACAATAATGAAAAAAAGAAAAATTTAGTGAGAAGTACAAAACAGTGCAGATTATTAAAGATAAAGATAAACAATTCTTCAGCTGACAAAATAATAAAAAACAAAATTTGAGTAACAGTTTAATACTTTGAATCTATAAAAATTATTTCTCCCATTTTTTCTGAACATCTTTATTATTGTTACTGTACAAAACTGAGTCTTCCTGTGCTGTTTCATTGTTGATTGTTGGTAAATAAAGTACTAGTATGATTAAACCTTTCCTTTGAGTACAAAGAGAAAATAAAGAAAGGTTTTTTATTCATGCCTCCATCTTTTTTATTTGTATTCATTGTAATTGACGTAGATCATGGCATCAAAAACGGTCATATATTCCGGACATTTATACATTTACCAGACATTATCCGTCTGGGAAAAGCATGAAAAGGACATCTACTTTTAGTTCTCAAGACTTTCTTAAGAGATGGTCATTTTAATATAAATTAAAGTTTATGCGATCTTTTTGACCCGACCTTTTGCCTTAAACAGCCACACATTTCTGGTCATAAAAGTGACATGATGATTAATTACTATCAAAACAAACCCTACTTTAATACCTTCTCATTTTAATAAAGGTTAATTAGTTGTGGGACAGCTGAAATTTACCTGTTCATGTGACAAGTAAACTGTTTTGTACCGGACATTAATCAGTCTATTCCAAAGTTATTTTCTTACATTACAGCCGTTTGCATCTAATTAATTTAGTCAAAAAGATTGAAATTATCAGAAATACGTTTATAAATATGATTTGATGAAAAATTTAAAAGGTTTTTAAACGCAAAATCGTCAGAACCATTTTCTTTGAACTAGGTGGGAAATTTAATTATACATCCTAATTCTTCAAAAATGCTAAAATTATCATTGATACCTTTATCTTACTTCATTTCGAGTATTTTCTTGAAGAAATCATGTGGAAAGAGCTACTTAAACTCAATCATGCTTTGTAAACGTACACGGGTTTTACGTATCCGTCTCTGGTCCACGTTTTGTCAAGTCAACATCCGGTATTAGGAAAATGTGCTTTTTAAAAACAAAAGTAAAGTTTTTGACAAAGTTATTTTGCACAAATAAAGAGTCAAAGGCAGATATTAGTATGCTGATGTTGCACACTTCCAATGATGGACTGTAAATTTAACAGTTCACGTCAGAACATCGAATTTATATCAAAGTAAATTTTAAAGTAAATCGAATTTATATCCAAGTAAAGTTTAAAGTAAATCGAATTTATATCCAAGTAAAGTTTGTTGTGTTTTTGTTGTGTCGTTGTTCTCCTCTTATATTTGATGCGTTTCCCTCAGTTTTAGTTTGTAACTCGGATTTGTTTTTATCTCTATCAATTTATGAGTTTCGAACAGCGGTATACTACTGTTGCCTTTATTTAATATCGCTTTTTTAATGTCAATTATTGGTTATAAGATGGCCGACCGATACCCATAATTGCCTTTTGTTACTAAGTCTTAAGGGATTAAAATCATGGTAAGACATAAAATGTGCGGCTGGCTCAAATATTTGTTTGAAGCCCTGACCTAGATATATAAGAAAATAAAAGAAAAATGATTCTGAGGACAAGAACACCCCCACTCAGGCTTTTAAACCTTGCTTGTAATATGTGAAAATACTTTTGGGACGGACGAAAAAATGAACGGATAGACAGACAGATGGATGGACAGAAGGATGGACACTTAATGCCCCCTTAGCCTAGCTGTGGGGGTATAAAGATATTCTAAAAATTTGTAAAATGATAAGTAGATGAAAATTTAACAAACAATAACAGTAGTGATGTATGGTTTTTTAAGCATTAATAAAGTCATTTTGCTAGAAAACTTAAGAGTGTCATTGTTTTGAACAATGTCAAAAATATATCAGCTATAGCCCTGTCTATATTACATGGACATTGTTATTTATTAACTAGGGTACTGGTCTTCTTACAAGAGGCCATGAAAGATGTACAAGCCAACATTGCTGCCCTGACTACACTTGGCTCTGCAAGTCAGTATAGACCTTCTTAAGCATGCTGAAGATCCTCTTAAAGGTAATATTGCAGTGTGAAGTAGTGAGCATAACTTTGCTGAGTTGAATGGCTATCAAATGTTTTTCAACATAAAAACTTTTTGATTGATGTTTTGACAACAGTTTACTTTTCTATAAATAAACAGTATTTACCTATAATCAATCTTGGCATATGCCATAAACAGGAGCCATATCCAGTTATTAATATCATATCACCTGTTGATTATTCTATCAAACTACATACTTGTTAATTAGTCTTGGGCCAGGGTCAAAATCTACTCAAGTTGTGTAATGTTACACTGGATTCATAAGATACATTCTGATTTTTATGTTTTCAATAACAAATATTTTGAAAAAAGTGTAGTAAAAATTGGTGTCTGAACATTTTCATTCATGAAGTATTTGATTCACAGGACTTTCCTCTTTTCAAAGGGAAGACGGGAGGAAACAACCGAAAACAGGATTATCTTACTCCTGACGGGATGTTCACATGTATAAATATAAGAGTTTATGTAATTGATTTCATATAAGAAATTAATGTTCTTTGAGCATGCTTTCTGACCTGGCAAGTAATTTCTTTCATTTTTGCTTATACTTCTGTATATTTGATATTAATTACCTTTCAACAACCATATTTTCCTGGAAACTTTATTTCACTTTTAGCTATTCTTGCAGAATTTGCAGAAACTATTTCATAGGTGACAAATGAAACATTCATAATTTCATTTAACAAAGATACTTACAAACACAGTTGTAACCATCATAAAAATGTGTGGTTGGACACTGACATGTCTGTGTATCAGTACGAGCATATATAGAATCTGTAGTGATACACTGTGCAGTATTTGTACAAGTTTCTCCAAAAGCCCCACAGGGCAACATAGAATTGTAATCTGGGTGGTACAGTACTTTTTTTGGATGGATTTAAACATATCAAATAGCGAAAAATGAAAACAATAAAATATGACATCTGATCTACAGTTTATATAAAACATTCTATTTTAACTCATTTGATAAACAAGTTAAAGATACTTACTAACACAGTTGGTACCATCATGGAAATGTGTGACTGGACATTTACATGACTTTGTGCCATCACCAGTACATTCAGCATTGGTTGCAATACATTGTGAAACATTGGTACAACTTTCTCCTATGGCTCTTCCTGACAATAATGAAAAAAAGAAAAATTTAGTGAGAAGTACAAAACAGTGCAGATTATTAAAGATAAAGATAAACAATTCTTCAGCTGACAAAATTATAAAAAACAAAATTTGAGTAACAGTTTAATACTTTGAATCTATAAAAATTATTTCTCCCATTTTTTCTGAACATCTTTATTATTGTTACTGTACAAAACTGAGTCTTCCTGTGCTGTTTCATTGTTGATTGTTGGTAAATAAAGTACTAGTATGATTAAACCTTTCCTTTGAGTACAAAGAGAAAATAAAGAAAGGTTTTTTATTCATGCCTCCATCTTTTTTATTTGTATTCATTGTAATTGACGTAGATCATGGCATCAAAAACGGTCATATATTCCGGACATTTATACATTTACCAGACATTATCCGTCTGGGAAAAGCATGAAAAGGACATCTACTTTTAGTTCTCAAGACTTTCTTAAGAGATGGTCATTTTAATATAAATTAAAGTTTATGCGATCTTTTTGACCCGACCTTTTGCCTTAAACAGCCACACATTTCTGGTCATAAAAGTGACATGATGATTAATTACTATCAAAACAAACCCTACTTTAATACCTTCTCATTTTAATAAAGGTTAATTAGTTGTGGGACAGCTGAAATTTACCTGTTCATGTGACAAGTAAACTGTTTTGTACCGGACATTAATCAGTCTATTCCAAAGTTATTTTCTTACATTACAGCCGTTTGCATCTAATTAATTTAGTCAAAAAGATTGAAATTATCAGAAATACGTTTATAAATATGATTTGATGAAAAATTTAAAAGGTTTTTAAACGCAAAATCGTCAGAACCATTTTCTTTGAACTAGGTGGGAAATTTAATTATACATCATAATTCTTCAAAAATGCTAAAATTATCATTGATACCTTTATCTTACTTCATTTCAAGTATTTTCTTGAAGAAATCATGTGGAAAGAGCTACTTAAACTCAATCATGCTTTGAAAACGTACACGGGTTTTACGTATCCGTCTCTGGTCCACGTTTTGTCAAGTCAACATCCGGTATTAGGAAAATGTGCTTTTTAAAAACAAAAGTAAAGTTTTTGACAAAGTTATTTTGCACAAATAAAGAGTCAAAGGCAGATATTAGTATGCTGATGTTGCACACTTCCAATGATGGACTGTAAATTTAACAGTTCACGTCAGAACATCGAATTTATATCAAAGTAAAGTTTAAAGTAAATCGAATTTATATCCAAGTAAAGTTTAAAGTAAATCGAATTTATATCCAAGTAAAGTTTGTTGTGTTTTTGTTGTGTCGTTGTTCTCCTCTTATATTTGATGCGTTTCCCTCAGTTTTAGTTTGTAACTCGTATTTGTTTTTATCTCTATCAATTTATGAGTTTCGAACAGCGGTATACTACTGTTGCCTTTATTTAATATCGCTTTTTTAATGTCAATTATTGGTTATAAGATGGCCGACCGATACCCATAATTGCCTTTTGTTACTAAGTCTTAAGGGATTAAAATCATGGTAAGACATAAATGTGCGGCTGGCTCAAATATTTGTTTGAAGCCCTGACCTAGATATATAAGAAAATAAAAGAAAAATGATTCTGAGGACAAGAACACCCCCACTCAGGCTTTTAAACCTTGCTTGTAATATGTGAAAATACTTTTGGGACGGACGAAAAAATGAACGGATAGACAGACAGATGGATGGACAGAAGGATGGACACTTAATGCCCCCTTAGCCTAGCTGTGGGGGTATAAAGATATTCTAAAAATTTGTAAAATGATAAGTAGATGAAAATTTAACAAACAATAACAGTAGTGATGTATGGTTTTTTAAGCATTAATAAAGTCATTTTGCTAGAAAACTTAAGAGTGTCATTGTTTTGAACAATGTCAAAAATATATCAGCTATAGCCCTGTCTATATTACATGGACATTGTTATTTATTAACTAGGGTACTGGTCTTCTTACAAGAGGCCATGAAAGATGTACAAGCCAACATTGCTGCCCTGACTACACTTGGCTCTGCAAGTCAGTATAGACCTTCTTAAGCATGCTGAAGATCCTCTTAAAGGTAATATTGCAGTGTGAAGTAGTGAGCATAACTTTGCTGAGTTGAATGGCTATCAAATGTTTTTCAACATAAAAACTTTTTGATTGATGTTTTGACAACAGTTTACTTTTCTATAAATAAACAGTATTTACCTATAATCAATCTTGGCATATGCCATAAACAGGAGCCATATCCAGTTATTAATATCATATCACCTGTTGATTATTCTATCAAACTACATACTTGTTAATTAGTCTTGGGCCAGGGTCAAAATCTACTCAAGTTGTGTAATGTTACACTGGATTCATAAGATACATTCTGATTTTTATGTTTTCAATAACAAATATTTTGAAAAAAGTGTAGTAAAAATTGGTGTCTGAACATTTTCATTCATGAAGTATTTGATTCACAGGACTTTCCTCTTTTCAAAGGGAAGACGGGAGGAAACAACCGAAAACAGGATTATCTTACTCCTGACGGGATGTTCACATGTATAAATATAAGAGTTTATGTAATTGATTTCATATAAGAAATTAATGTTCTTTGAGCATGCTTTCTGACCTGGCAAGTAATTTCTTTCATTTTTGCTTATACTTCTGTATATTTGATATTAATTACCTTTCAACAACCATATTTTCCTGGAAACTTTATTTCACTTTTAGCTATTCTTGCAGAATTTGCAGAAACTATTTCATAGGTGACAAACGAAACATTCATAATTTCATTTAACAAAGATACTTACAAACACAGTTGTAACCATCATAAAAATGTGTGGTTGGACACTGACATGTCTGTGTATCAGTACGAGCATATATAGAATCTGTAGTGATACACTGTGCAGTATTTGTACAAGTTTCTCCAAAAGCCCCACAGGGCAACATAGAATTGTAATCTGGGTGGTACAGTACTTTTTTTGGATGGATTTAAACATATCAAATAGCGAAAAATGAAAACAATAAAATATGACATTTGATCTACAGTTTATATAAAACATTCTATTTTAACTCATTTGATAAACAAGTTAAAGATACTTACTAACACAGTTGGTACCATCATGGAAATGTGTGACTGGACATTTACATGACTTTGTGCCATCACCAGTACATTCAGCATTGGTTGCAATACATTGTGAAACATTGGTACAACTTTCTCCTATGGCTCTTCCTGACAATAATGAAAAAAAGAAAAATTTAGTGAGAAGTACAAAACAGTGCAGATTATTAAAGATAAAGATAAACAATTCTTCAGCTGACAAAATAATAAAAAACAAAATTTGAGTAACAGTTTAATACTTTGAATCTATAAAAATTATTTCTCCCATTTATTCTGAACATCTTAATTATTGTTACTGTACAAAACTGAGTCTTCCTGTGCTGTTTCATTGTTAATTGTTGGTAAATAAAGAACTAGTATGATTAAATCTTTCCTTTGAGTACAAAGAGAAAATAAAGAAGAGTTTTTTAATTCATGCCTCCATCTTTTTTATTTGTATTCATTGTACTTGACCTAGATATATCAGAAGATAAAAGAAAAATGTTTCTGAGGACAAGCACACCCCCACTCAAGCTTTTAAAGCTTGCTTGTAATATGTAAAAATACTTTTGGGAAGGACACAAAGAATGAACGGAAAGACAGACAGATGGATAGACAGAAGGATGGACGGCTAAGTGTAACACTTAATGCCCCTTTCCCTTAGCAGTGAGGGTATAAAAATATTCTAAAAATTTGTTAAATGGCAAGCAGATGGAAAATTAACAAACAATAACAGTAGTTATGAATGGTTTTTTAAGCATTAATAAAGTCATTTTGCTAGAAAACTTAAGACTGTCATTGTTTCGAACAATGTCAAAAATATATCAGCTATAGCCCTGTCTATATTACATGGACATTGTAATTTAATAACTAGGACACTGGTCTTCTAACAAGAGGCCATGAAAGAAGTACATGCAAACATTGCTGCCCTGACTACACTTGGCTCTGTAAGTCAGTATGGACCTTCTTGACCATGCTGAAGATCCTCTTAGATGTAGCATTGCAGTGTGAAGTAGTGAGCATAACTTTGCTGAGTTGAATGGCTATCAAATGTTTTTCAACATAAAAACTTTTTAATTGATGTTTTGACAACAGTTTACTTTTCTATAAATAAACAGTATTTACCTTTAATCAATCTTGGCATATGCCATAAACAGGAGCCATATCCAGTTATTAATATCATATCACCTGTTGATTATTCTATCAAACTACATACTTGTTAATTAGTCTTGGGCCAGGGTCAAAATCTACTCAAGTTGTGTAATGTTACACTGGATTCATAAGATACATTCTGATTTTTATGTTTTCAATAACAAATATTTTGAAAAAAGTGTAGTAAAAATTGGTGTCTGAACATTTTCATTCATGAAGTATTTGATTCACAGGAATTTCCTCTTTTCAAAGGGAAGACGGGAGGAAACAACAGAAAACAGGATTATCTTACTCCTGACAGGATGTTCACATGTATAAATATAAGAGTTTATATAATTGATTTCATATTAGAAATTAATGTTCTTTGAGCTTGCTTTCTGACCTGGCAAGTAATTTCTTTCATTTTTGCTTATACTTCTGTATATTTGATATCAATTACCTTTCAACAAACATATTTTCCTGGAAACTTTATTTCACTTTTAGCTATTCTTGCAGAATTTGCAGAAACTATTTCATAGGTGACAAATGAAACATTCATAATTTCATTTAACAAAGATACTTACAAACACAGTTGTTACCATCATAAAAATGTGTGGTTGGACACTGACATGTCTGTGTATCAGTACGAGCACATATAGAATCTGTAGTGATACACTGTGCAGTATTTGTACAAGTTTCTCCAAAAGCCCCAGAGGGCAACATAGAATTGTAATCTGGGTGGTACAGTACTATTTTTGGATGGATTTAACAGTCAGGGATATAACTGTATAGGGTTATTACAGAAAAATAACATACATTTGTTATTGTGGACTAAAAAATCAAAGAACTGTGATAACATATGTATGTTACATGTTTCAAAGGGACAATATACATCACTAGTTTAGTTAAAATGCATGCAAGTTCTATTAATATTACTATTGTCTTTATGTATACTTAACTTTAGAAAGATATAACAGTTCATAGTTTGCCAATTTTGCATAGTACACCTATATGTTATTACAGAAAAAATATGCCTGTAATAACTAAAGGGTGTTATCACAGCTTCTCTATATCATTCCAAAGCATTTTCTCAGACATACATCATGCTTAATTACAATGTATTTTGATTTATTGTAAGAAATAATGACCAGAGCATGTAATGAGGTTCTGCGCAAGTTTCCCAGTAATTCCCAAGTGTCTCATATAATAAGTTACATTCCTTTAATAACTAAGCTATGTTATCACAGCTAAGTTTATCCCTTAAATTAGCCTCGTCTCATTGATTTACCATGGTTAATCAAAAATGTATTAATTCAATTAAAAAATTAATTATCAAGGCTATGCATTTAGTTTCTGCGCAAAGTCTCAAGAGTTCCCTAGAGCCCATTATAAATTAAAATATTTTTGACTAATTTTACAAATAACAAACATATGTTATTGCAGATTTAGAAAGTTTAAGGAATAAAGAGTAGACAACTCATGAAAGTATCTGTAATAACACACGCAAGTTATTTTCTGTAATAACCCTATAGAGTTATATCTCTGACTGTTAAACATATCAAATAGTGAAAAATGAAAACAATAAAATATGACATTTGATCTACAGTTTATATAAAACATTCTATTTTAACTCATTTGATAAACAAGTTAAAGATACTTACTAACACAGTTGGTACCATCATGGAAATGTGTGACTGGACATTTACATGACTTTGTGCCATCACCAGTACATTCAGCATTGGTTGCAATACATTGTGAAACATTGGTACAACTTTCTCCTATGGCTCTTCCTGACAATAATGAAAAAAAGAAAAATTTAGTGAGAAGTACAAAACAGTGCAGATTATTAAAGATAAAGATAATTAAATGTGGATAGTGTCCACATGTGGACACAGATGATGCCCCCGCTTGCATATCATATAGTTATAAAGGGACATAACTGAAGAATGGTAAAAGTGACGCTACCCAAATTTGAACTTGATCTAAGTTTTGTGGTAAAAAGCATTGTGTGCAGTCTCATAACATTTGGTTGTGGCTAACTTAAGAAGAGAACAGAAACTAAAAATTCAGCAATTTTTCTATTTGTAAACACGCATAACTCTAGAACAGTTGTGTATAAGTTTTATAACATTTGGTTGAGATAAACTAAAGTTAGAGAACGGAAACGAAAAATTCAGCAATTTTTATGTTTATAAAGGGACATAACTAAAGAATGGTAAAAGTGTCGCCACCAAATTTCGTACTTAATCTGTATTATGTAGTAATAAGCATTGTGTATAAGTTTCATAACATTTAGTTGAGGCAAACTAAAGTTAGAAAACGGAAACAAAAAATTTGTACTTGATCTTAGTTTTGTGGTAATGAATATTGTGTATAGGTTTCATAATGTTTGGTTGGGGCAAACTTAAGTTACAGAATGGAAACTAAAAATTTAGCAATCTTTTGATTTATAAAGGGGCATAACTCAATAATGGTTAAAATGACACTACCCAACTTCAACTTGATGATGATCTGTGTTTTATCAGTGGGAGTCAAAATTAAACATTGCATTGTATAAAGCATTGATTGTAGTTGATTTAACTATAGTCATGGACAAAGGTAGAAAACTCCAATTTAAAAAAAAACTTGATAATTAGAAGAAAAGAAAATTTTTGCAATTTTTCCATTTGTAAAGGGGCATAACTCTAGAACGGTTAAAGTGACGGCACCAAAATTCAAGCTTGATCTGTTTTTTGTGGTAATAAGCATTGTGTATAAGTTTCATATTATTTGGTTGAGGCAAACTTAAGTTAGAGAACGGAAAACTAAATATTTTGCAATTTTTCCATTTATAAAGGGACATAACTCTAGAATGGTTAAAGTGACGCCACCAAAATTCAAACTTGATCTGTGTGTTGTAGTAATAAGCATTGTGTATAACTGTCTTAACATTTGGTTGAGGCAAACTTAAGTTAGAGAACGGAAAACTAAATATTTTGCAATTTTTCCGTTTATAAAGGGGCATAACTCTAGAACGGTTTAAGTGACGCCACCAAAATTCAAACTTGATCTGTGTTTTGTGGTAATAAGCATTGTGTTCAAGTTTCATAATATTTGGTTGAGGCAAACTCACGTTAGAGAACTGAAACCAATTTTGGGACGTACGGACGAACGTACAGACGGACAAGGGTAAAACTTACGCTACGGCGGGGGCATAAAAATTCTTCAGCTGACAAAATAATAAAAAGCAAAATTTGAGTTACAGTTTAGTACTTTGATTCTATAAAAATTACTTCTCCCATTTATTCTGAACATCTTTATTATTGTTACTGTACAAAACTGAGTCTTCCTGTGCTGTTTCATTGTTAATTGTTGGTAAATAAAGTACTAGTATGATTAAACCTTTCCTTTGAGTACAAAGAGAAAATAAAGAAGAGTTTTTTAATTCATGCCTCCATCTTTTTTATTTGTATTCATTGTACTTGACCTAGATATATAAGAAAATAAAAGAAAAATGTTTCTGAGGACAAGCACGCCCCCACTCAAGCTTTTAAAGCTTGCTTGTAATATGTAAAAATACTTTTGGGAAGGACAAAAGAATGAACGGAAAGACAGACAGATGGATGGACAGAAGGATGGATGGCTAAGTGTAACACTTAATGCCCCTTTCGCTTAGCAGTGAGAGTATAAAAATATTCTAAAAATTTGTAAAATGACAAGCAGATGGAAAATTAACAAACAATAACAGTAGTTATGTATGGTTTTTTAAGCATTAATAAAGTCATTTTGCTAGAAAACTTAAGACTGTCATTGTTTCGAACAATGTCAAAAATATAACTCAAGAATGGTAAAAGTGTCGCCACCAAATTTCGTACTTAATCAGTATTATGTTGTAATAAGCATTGTGTATAAGTTTCTTAACATTTGGTTGAGGCAAACTAAAGTTAGAAAACGGAAACAAAAAATTTGTATTTGATCTTAGTTTTGTGGTAATGAATATTGTGTATAGGTTTCATAATGTTTGGTTGGGGCAAACTTAAGTTACAGAAAGGAAACTAAAAATATTGCAATCTTTCGATTTATAAAGGGGCATAACTCAATAATGGTTAAAGTGACACTACCCAAATTCAACTTGATCTGTGTTTTATCAGTGGAAGTCAAAATTAAACATTGCATTGTATATAGCATTGATTGTAGTTGATTCAAAATCGGACGAAAGAATGAATGGAAAGACAGACAGAAGGATGGACGGCTAAGTGTAACACTTAATGCTCCTTTCGCTTAGCAGTGAGGGTATAAAAATATTCTAAAAATTTGTAAAATGATAAGCAGATGGAAAATTAACAAACAATAACAGTAGTTATGTATGGTTTTGAAAGCATTAATACAGTCATTTTGCTATAAAAACTTAAGACTGTCATTGTTTCGAACAATGTCAAAAATATATCAGCTATAGCCCTGTCTATATTACATGGACAGTGTTATTTAAAGGGGCACTAGCTACGAGATATATAAAAAATCTAATATATGATTTTTTTTATTCAATCATTAATGCAAGTGAAATAGTGAAATAATTATTCGCTTCTATCCACCAGTATTGTTCAATTTTGTCAAAATAAGCTAAGAAACATTGATAATGAATTATTCAATTGCAAGTGAATAATTCAACCTCATTGAATCCGTATTCATGTGAACTTCAATTTAACCCCTTAGCTAGAGATGGATAACACGTGAATTGTATGTGTAAAGTTATTTAAAGGAAAAGAATGTCAACATTGAAAGTGAAACAAAGGTAAATCATTTGATTGACTGATCCAATCCACAAAAAAATCATTCTTATACAGGTAAAAACGATGATAAACATATATTTTTAATCTATAATATGAAATTAAACAGACCTAGAAAAATCCAATAGCACGAGTTCGCTTAATCTATTTATATCTTTATTTATGTTTACATCGCTTATATGGTCATCGGATGACTAAGGAGGTCAACTCGAAAGTTAATAAGATGGCGTCTAGACTAAAATACACACGAAACCAAGCTATGTGTTATCATGCCCATGTCCTGTTAACTGTTTATTTTCGACTTTTTATAGTTTGGATAAATGTTTTACATTGTTATAAATCAAATATGAGAATTTGAGTCAAATCGGTGAACATGAATTTGACAGCTAGTGCCCCTTTAATAATTAGGACACTGGTCTTCTAACAAGAGGCCATGAAAGAAGTACAAGCCAGCATTGCTGTCCTGACTACACTTGGCTCTGCAAGTCAGTATGGATTTTCTTAAGCATGCTGAATGTCCTCTTAAAGGCAGCATTGCAGTGTGAAGTAGTGAACATAACTTTGCTGAGTTGAATGGCTATCAAATATTTTTCAACATAAAAACTTTTTAATTGATGTTTTGAGAACAATTCACTTTTCTATAAATAACAGTATTTACCTTTAATCAATCTTGGCATATGCCATAAACAGGAGCCATATCCAGTTATTAATATCATATCACCTGTTGATTATTCTATCAAACTGCAATTACTTGTTAATTAGTCTTGGGCCAGGGTCAAAATCTACTCAAGCTGTGTAATGTTACACTGGATTCGTTAGATACACTCTGATTTTTATGTTTTCAATAACAAATATTTTGAAAAAAGTGTAGTAAAAATTGGTGTCTGAACATTTTCATTCATGAAGTATTTGATTCACAGGACTTTCCTCTTTTCAAAGGGAAGACGGGAGGAAACAACCGAAAACAGGATTATCTTACTCCTGACAGGATGTTCACATGTATTAATATAAGAGTTTATGTAATTGATTTCATATTAGAAATTAATGTTCTTTGAGCTTGCTTTCTGACCTGGCAAGTAATTTCTTTCATTTTTGCTTATACTTCTGTATATTTCAACTACCTTTCAACAAACATATTTTCCTGGAAACTTTATTTCACTTTTAGCTATTCTTGCAGAATTTGCAGAAACTATTTCATAGGTGACAAATGAAACATTCAAAATTTCATTTATCAAAGATACTTACAAACACAGTTGTTACCATCATAGAAATGTGTGGTTGGACACTGACATGTCTGTGTATCAGTACGAGCACATATAGAATCTGTAGTGATACACAGTGCAGTATTTGTACAAGTTTCTCCAAAAGCCCCAGAGACCAACATAGAATTGTAATCTGGGTGGTTCAGTACTATTTTGGGATGGTTTTAAACATATCAAATAGTGAAAAGTGAAAACAATAAAATATGACATTTGATCTACAGTTTATCTAAAACATTCTATTTTAACTCATTTGATAAACAAGTAAGAGATACTTACTAAGACAGTTGGTACCATCATGGAAATGTGTGACTGGACATTTACATGTCTTTGTACCATCACCAGTACATTCAGCATTGGTTGCAATACATTGTGAAACATTGGTACAACTTTCTCCTATGGCTCTTCCTGACAAAAAAGAAAAAAAGAACAATTTAGTGAGAAGTATAAAACAGTGCAGATTATTAAAGATAAAGATAAAAAATTCTTCAGCTGACAAAATGATAAAAAGCAAAATTTGAGTAACAGTTTAATACTTTGATTCTACAAAAATTCTTTCTCCCATTTATTCTGAACATCTTTATTATTGTTACTGTACAAAACTGAGTCTTCCTGAACTGTTTCATTGTTGACTGTTGGTAAATAAAGTACTAGTATGATTAAACCTTTCCTTTGAGTACAAAGATAAAATAAAGAAGAGTTGTTTTATTCATGCCTCCATCTTTTTTATTTGTATTCATTGTACTTGACCTAGAGATATAAGAAAATAAAAAAAATGTTTCTGCGGACAAGAACACCCCCATTCAAGCTTTTAAAGCTTGCTTGTAATATGTGAAAATACTTTTGGGATGGGAGAAAGAATGAAAGGAAAGACAGACAGATGGATGGATGATGGATGGACAGCTAAGTGTAACACTTAATGCCCCTTTCGCCTAGCAGTGAGGGTAAAAAAATATTCAAAAAATTCGTAAAATGATAAGTATATCGAAAATAAACAAACAATAATAGTAGTTATGTATGTTTTTTTAAACATTAATAAAGTCATTTTGATGAAAACTTAAGACTGTCATATATTGTATCGAATAATGTCAAAAATATATCAGCTATAGCCCTGTCTATATTACATGGACAGCGTTATTTAATAACTAGGGCACTGGTCTTCTAACAAGAGGCCATGAAAGAAGTACAAGCCAACATTGCTGCCCTGACTACACTTGGCTCTGCAAGTCAGTATGGATCTTCTTAAGCATGATGAAGATCCTCTTAAAGGCAGCATTGCAGTGTGAAGTAGTGAACATAACTTTGCTGAGTTGAATGGCTATCAAATGTTTTTCAACATAAAAAGTTTTTAATTGATGTTTTGACAACAAATCACTTTCTATAAATAACAGTATTTACCTTTAATCAATCTTGGCATATGCCATAAACAGGAGCCATATCCAGTTATTAATATCATATCACCTGTTGATTATTCTATCAAACTACAATTACTTGTTAATTAGTCTTGGGCCAGGGTCAAAATCTACTCAAGTTGTGTAATGTTACACTGGATTCGTTAGATACACTGATTTTTATGTTTTAAATAACAAATATTTTGAAAAAAGTGTAGTAAAAATTGGTGTCTAAACATTTTCATTCATGAAGTATTTGATTCACAGGTCTTACTTTCCTCTGTTCAAAGGAAAGACGGGAGGAAACAACCAAAAACAGGATTACCTTACTCCTGACAGGATGTTCACATGTATAATTATAAGAGTTTGTGTAATTGATTTCATATTAGAAATTAATGTTCTTTGAGCATGCTTTCTGACCTGGCAAGTAATTTCTTTCATTTTCGCTTATACTTCTGTATATTTGATATCAATTACCTTTCAACAAACATATTTTCCTGGAAACTTTATTTCACTTTTAGCTATTCTTGCAGAATTTGCAGAAACTATTTCATAGGTGACAAATGAAACATTCAAAATTTCATTTATCAAAGATACTTACAAACACAGTTGTTACCATCATAAAAATGTGTGGTTGGACACTGACATGTCTGTGTATCAGTATGAGCACATATAGAATCTGTAGTGATACACTGTGCAGTCAGGGATGATTCCAGGTGTTTTCAAATGGGTCCCTTGAACATCAAATTGGGAATTTTTATCCCAATAGGGAATTTTTTATGCATAAAATCTAAGACGAAATAATAATATTTTCCTGTAAAAACAGAAAATGTATATTAAGTTTCACCTGTACACTGATTTAAGAAGTTGTAACATTTTGAATAATTCTGGATGGGCTACTGATTATGATATATATGATTCTCAGAGATATGATTACTAGATCACTTGACAGTTATTGGATTGAGACCAGGGAAGTTGTAATACATGGATATCATTGCACATGATGCACCATCGACTTAGCTATGGCAACCTAGGCCTATTACAAAAACATATATAACAAACATGTAAACCACTAAAAAAATCATCCATTGGGTATTTTTTCAACAGGTCATCTTTATAAATTCACCTTGATTCAAATGGATTTCATATTATACCTTTATCTTCGGGTCGTTAAATAAGCCAAAGGCTTCTACTGACCCCTCATCTTGGATTGTCGTAATGCAATTTCTCCTCTCATAATAATCGCATAATAATATATTTATATGTATATTACTAGAACACATCCGCAATATCGCGGGTCCGTGACTGAATTTAAGTATCTAATAATGTGGAAGCCTTATTTTAGCCTGGATTTTTAGTATTGGTATAGTCATCTGATAAAGTCATGCTGATTATAAGATGCACAGTTTTCTCTGCTTTCAAAATCTTTCTGTTTGAACCTGTTGACCTCAAACTTATCAATTATTGGTAATATTAATTATTTAGAAAACAAAAGGGCCTGGAATGGAGTAATTTTTAATCAACAGCATTGTACTATATAAGTTATAAATAAAGTTGAATTCTTTGATTCGCCGTTTTTAAGTCATGTCGGCTAACAAATTGAAAACAGTACCTACGCCTTATTCTAAGTCTAGATATTTAGTATTCGTATTGTCATTTTAAAAAGTCATGCTGATTAAAATACTTCACTAGGAAACAATGTGACAATGATTGAATTTAGTAGTGTCAACCCTGTGATTATGACCCGTGTATATAGCAAATCCCAAATACACCGTTTGGTGGTGCGCCTGACAGATGCGGAACGTACAGATAAGGTAATAGTTAACATGTGACATATAATGACATGACTTAAAGGAAATCGCATCTGATAGTTCCGGAACTTTTTAATTTGTCTAATTGTTTATTGTTTGAAACAGTAATCGATGATAAAGGGTAAAATTTTCAGTATACCCTATCAAGTATATATACCCTTATATGAAGTTTGACTTGTAGCTTTCTTCGGTTATATGTTTATTAGGTAAACAAAAATGGTCTTTAGATTTAGTAGTATAGATACTTATAAAAATAGAACTTATTTAGGGGTGCGCAGCCTAACAATTAACATGAACATATAAATTTATACGGGTTCCAATTCTCGCCATTTAACCCTGACTTAAAATTATTCAAAGTCTTTGCCATCACTGTTAAACTGTGTGTGAACTGGCCAATTGTTTTAGGCATCAACATTATTTTCAAAAAGCTCAAACTTTTGTCTTTTGACATCATGTTTGAGGAAATTGTTTACCACATGTTGACATAATTAAATCGTTGTTAATAAAATACGATCGTAATCAGCATTCTTATCCAAATTTTAAAACGTTTTGATGACGGGTACACGACAACTAGTACCTTTGCCAACTTGTACTCAACCAACTTGTACCCTATTTTTACCAACTCGTACCCAATATTTTTTAGCATGATTGTTTTTCATTTATTAGGTTATATTGAAAATTTAATTTTTATTTTTATTTTGTAATCGATCCACTGATAAGATTTTTCTTAATGTTTTTTAAACATGTTTCTTAAATGCAGCATAAGTCTTTAATTGTGAAGTAATGAATTCATTAGTTTTAAACATTGTTGGTAAATAAGAATATATAGAACATCATCCTGATCATCTCAACCAGAGACATATATATATATGTCTCTGTCTCAACCTTGAACGATCAATAAAATATTGGAAAAGGATATTTTTTTACTGATTTTTGCGTTGGTCAAGGGAGTTTTTTTGTGTTTGTGTATATATAATTAATACCTTTCCAATCCTTTTGAAACTATAAAGCCACTGGCAGCACACGAATTAAACAAAGTCCAAATGTTTTACATATATATTTATTAGGAATTATTTTTTTTTTTTCTGTGAATAGAAATTAAAAAAAAAGATCGCCGAAGTTAAATGTAATATTAACCTGCAATCCAAGAAACTGGACATGTCTTAGCACAGACTGTTTGAAGTGAAAAAGACAACCATGCCTGGAATCACCTCCTTTAGGGCCTGCCACAAACCACCCTCAAAGTCGGCTATGAACCCACGGACTTTTCAGTGAGGATTGTATAAGTATACCTCAACGGACTTTGATGTTCAAAATGCCGAATTCATATGGATTTTTTTGTTTTTATATACTTCTCTATGTTTATTTATTGTATGATTATAATTATTTAATATGCATATCAAATAAATTGCCGCATGATATATGAGAGAAAATAACAACTATAATTTATATAAATGATAATAACATATTGGGTACGAGTTGGTAAAAGTACGAGTTGGTTGAGTACAAGTTGCCGAAGGTGCGAGTTGACATGTATCCTTGACGACAAACTATGAAAACTTATAGTTGCTGAAATCGGTGACGGAAACTTTTCCGGAAATATAGATTTTTATTTTATTTTCCTGAATTGGTAATTTATATTCGCAAACATTTTTTTGGGGCTGCTGGTCGATTTTAGGGCCGCTAAGCGGCGTCTAAACTATATAGTGGAATCATCCCTGGCAGTATTTGTACAAGTTTCTCCAAAAGCCCCAGAGGGCAACATAGAATTGTAATCTGTGTGGTACAGTACTATTTTTGGATGGCTTTTAACATATCAAAAAGTGAAAAATGAAAACAATAAAATATGACATTTGATCTACAGTTTATATACAACATTTTCTTTTAACTCAATTTATAAACAAGTTAAAGATACATACTTAGACAATTGGTACCATCATGGAAATATGTGACTGGACATTTACAAGTCTTTGTACCATCACCAGTACATTCAGAATTGTTAGCAATACATTGTGTAACATGTGTACAACTTTCTCCTATGGCTCTTCCTGTTTAAAATAAAATAAGAAAAATTTAATGACAAGTACAAAACAATGCAAATAATTAAAAATAAAGAACAAAAATTGATTAGCTGGAAGAATAGTTAAAAACAACATTTGAGTAACAGTTTAATACTTTGAATCTACAGAAAATATTTCTTCAATTTATTATGAACATCTTTATTATTGTTACTGCACAAAATTGAGTCTTCCTGTGCTGTTTCATTCTTTATTATAGTTAATGCACACAACTGAGTCTACCTGTTCTCCCTCATAGTTTGTAAATAAAGTATTAGTATGATTAAACCTTTCTTTTGAGTACTAAGACAAAATAAAGAAGAGTTTTTTTATTCATGCCTCAATCTTTTTTATTTGTATTGATTGTAATTGACCTAGATATATAAGAAATTAAAAGAAAAACGTTTCTGAGGACAAGAATACCCCCACTCAAGCTTTTAAAGCTTGCTTGTAATATGTGAAAATACTTTTGGGATGGACGAAAGAATGAACAGAAAGACAGACAGATGGATGGATGATGGATGGACGACTAGCTGTGGGGGCATAAAAATATTCTATAAATTTGTAAAATGATACATAGATGAAAAATTAACAAACAATAACAGTAGTTATGTATGGTTTTTTAAGCATTAATAAAGTCATTTTGCTAAAAAACTTAAGACTGTCATTGTTTCAAACAATGTCTAAAATATATCAGCTAGAGCCCTGTCTATATTCACTACAAACTGCTCAGAGTCTGAAAAGCCCATATTTTGAGCTCGACCAGTAAAGTTGAGCACAGACTTTACTTGATAAGTTTCGACATTATCTTTGCCATCACTGTTAAACTGTGTGTGAACTGGCCAATTGTTTTAGGCATCAACATTATTTTCAAAAAGCTCAAACTTTTGTCTTTTGACATCATGTTTGAGGAAATTGTTTACCACATGTTGACATAATTAAATCGTTGTTAATAAAATACGATCGTAATCAGCATTCTTATCCAAATTTTAAAACGTTTTGATGACGGGTACACGACAACTAGTACCTTTGCCAACTTGTACTCAACCAACTTGTACCCTATTTTTACCAACTCGTACCCAATATTTTTTAGCATGATTGTTTTTCATTTATTAGGTTATATTGAAAATTTAATTTTTATTTTTATTTTGTAATTGATCCACTGATAAGATTTTTCTTAATGTTTTTTAAACATGTTTCTTAAATGCAGCATAAGTCTTTAATTGTGAAGTAATGAATTCATTAGTTTTAAACATTGTTGGTAAATAAGAATATATAGAACATCATCCTGATCATCTCAACCAGAGACATATATATATATGTCTCTGTCTCAACCTTGAACGATCAATAAAATATTGGAAAAGGATATTTTTTTACTGATTTTTGCGTTGGTCAAGGGAGTTTTTTTGTGTTTGTGTATATATAATTAATACCTTTCCAATCCTTTTGAAACTATAAAGCCACTGGCAGCACACGAATTAAACAAAGTCCAAATGTTTTACATATATATTTATTAGGAATTATTTTTTTTTTTTCTGTGAATAGAAATTAAAAAAAAAGATCGCCGAAGTTAAATGTAATATTAACCTGCAATCCAAGAAACTGGACATGTCTTAGCACAGACTGTTTGAAGTGAAAAAGACAACCATGCCTGGAATCACCTCCTTTAGGGCCTGCCACAAACCACCCTCAAAGTCGGCTATGAACCCACGGACTTTTCAGTGAGGATTGTATAAGTATACCTCAACGGACTTTGATGTTCAAAATGCCGAATTCATATGGATTTTTTTGTTTTTATATACTTCTCTATGTTTATTTATTGTATGATTATAATTATTTAATATGCATATCAAATAAATTGCCGCATGATATATGAGAGAAAATAACAACTATAATTTATATAAATGATAATAACATATTGGGTACGAGTTGGTAAAAGTACGAGTTGGTTGAGTACAAGTTGCCGAAGGTGCGAGTTGACATGTATCCTTGACGACAAACTATGAAAACTTATAGTTGCTGAAATCGGTGACGGAAACTTTTCCGGAAATATAGATTTTTATTTTATTTTCCTGAATTGGTAATTTATATTCGCAAACATTTTTTTGGGGCTGCTGGTCGATTTTAGGGCCGCTAAGCGGCGTCTAAACTATATAGTGGAATCATCCCTGGCAGTATTTGTACAAGTTTCTCCAAAAGCCCCAGAGGGCAACATAGAATTGTAATCTGTGTGGTACAGTACTATTTTTGGATGGCTTTTAACATATCAAAAAGTGAAAAATGAAAACAATAAAATATGACATTTGATCTACAGTTTATATACAACATTTTCTTTTAACTCAATTTATAAACAAGTTAAAGATACATACTTAGACAATTGGTACCATCATGGAAATATGTGACTGGACATTTACAAGTCTTTGTACCATCACCAGTACATTCAGAATTGTTAGCAATACATTGTGTAACATGTGTACAACTTTCTCCTATGGCTCTTCCTGTTTAAAATAAAATAAGAAAAATTTAATGACAAGTACAAAACAATGCAAATAATTAAAAATAAAGAACAAAAATTGATTAGCTGGAAGAATAGTTAAAAACAACATTTGAGTAACAGTTTAATACTTTGAATCTACAGAAAATATTTCTTCAATTTATTATGAACATCTTTATTATTGTTACTGCACAAAATTGAGTCTTCCTGTGCTGTTTCATTCTTTATTATAGTTAATGCACACAACTGAGTCTACCTGTTCTCCCTCATAGTTTGTAAATAAAGTATTAGTATGATTAAACCTTTCTTTTGAGTACTAAGACAAAATAAAGAAGAGTTTTTTTATTCATGCCTCAATCTTTTTTATTTGTATTGATTGTAATTGACCTAGATATATAAGAAATTAAAAGAAAAACGTTTCTGAGGACAAGAATACCCCCACTCAAGCTTTTAAAGCTTGCTTGTAATATGTGAAAATACTTTTGGGATGGACGAAAGAATGAACAGAAAGACAGACAGATGGATGGATGATGGATGGACGACTAGCTGTGGGGGCATAAAAATATTCTATAAATTTGTAAAATGATAAATAGATGAAAAATTAACAAACAATAACAGTAGTTATGTATGGTTTTTTAAGCATTAATAAAGTCATTTTGCTAAAAAACTTAAGACTGTCATTGTTTCAAACAATGTCTAAAATATATCAGCTAGAGCCCTGTCTATATTCACTACAAACTGCTCAGAGTCTGAAAAGCCCATATTTTGAGCTCGACCAGTAAAGTTGAGCACAGACTTTACTTGATAAGTTTCGACATTATCTTAACAGTACTTAACTTTCTCCTATGGCTCTTCCTGACAAAATGAAAAAAGAAAAATTTAGAGGAAACAAACCGAAAACAGGATTATCTTACTCTTGACAGGATGTTCACATGTATTAATATAAGAGTTTATGTAATTGATTTCATATTAGAAATTAATGTTCTTTGAGCTTGCTTTCTGACCTGGCAAGTAATTTCTTTCATTTTTGCTTATACTTCTGTATATTTCAACTACCTTTCAACAAACATATTTTCCTGGAAACTTTATTTCACTTTAAGCTATTCTTGCAGAATTTGCAGAAACTATTTCATAGGTGACAAATGAAACATTCATAACTTTGCTGAGTTGAATGGCTATCAAATGTTTTTCAACATAAAAACTTTTTAATTGATGTTTTGACAACAAATCACTTTTCTATAAATAACAGTATTTACCTTTAATCAGTCTTGGCATATGCCATAAACAGGAGCCATATCCAGTTATTAATATCATATCACCTGTTGATTATTCTATCAAACTACAATTACTTGTTAATTAGTCTTGGGCCAGGGTCAAAATCTACTCAAGTTGTGTAATGTTACACTGGATTCGTTAGATACACTCTGATTTTTATGTTTTCAATAACAAATATTTTGAAAAAAGTGTAGTAAAAATTTGGTGTATGAACATTTTCATTCATGAAGTATTTGATTCACAGGACTTTCCTCTTTTCAAAGGGAAGATGGGAGGAAACAACCGAAAACAGGATTACCTTACTCCTGACAGGATATTCACATGTATAAATATAAGAGTTTATGTAATTGATTTCATATAAGAAATTAATGTTCTTTGAGCTTGCTTTCTGACCTGGCAAGTAATTTCTTTCATTTTTGCTTATACTTCTGTATATTTGATATCAATTACCTTTCAACAAACATATTTTCCTGGAAATTTTATTTCACTTTTAGCTATTCTTGCAGAATTTGCAGAAACTATTTCATAGGTGACAAATGAAACATTCAAAATTTCATTTATCATAAATACTTACAAACACAGTTGTTGCCATCATAAAAATGTGTCGTTGGACACTGACATGTCTGTGTATCAGTACGAGCATATATAGAATCTGTAGTGCTACACCATGTACACTGTGCAGTATTTGTACAAGTTTCTCCAAAAGCCCAAGAGGGCAACATAGAATTGTAATCTGGGTGGTACAGTACTATTTTTGGATGGATTTAAACATATCAAATAGTGAAAAATGAAAACAATAAATTATGACATTTGATCTACAGTTTATATACAACATTCTCTTTGAACTCATTTGATAAACAAGTTAAAGATACTTACTAAGACAGTTGGTACCATCATGGAAATGTGTGACTGGACATTTACATGTCTTTGTACCATCACCAGTACATTCAGAATTGTTAGCAATACATTGTGCAACATGTGTACAACTTTCTCCTATGGCTCTTCCTGTTTAAAATAAAAGAAGAAAAATTAAATGACAAGTACAAAACAATGCAAATAATTAAAAATAAAGAACAAAAATTGATTAGCTGGAAGAATAGTTAAAAACAACATTTGAGTAACAGTTTAATACTTTGAATCTACATAAAATATTTCTTCAATTTATTATGAACATCTTTATTATTGTTACTGCACAAAATTGAGTCTTCCTGTGCTGTTTCAT